TTTTTGTGGCTACACTTTAGTGATAGTGTAGGTTCCACACCGTCAGACCAAGCAGCCCTAGTGACCATGCGGAATTTGCAGTAAGCGTGTTTATTCCAGCTCGTTAGAATAATTCCCATATGTCATAGATATATGCATTTTCAAGGAGAAGCGGAGGATTCTGGCTGACTTAGAAGAGCGCGCGGAGCAGTTAGAAAGGGAACGTGATGCGCAAATTGCGGTCGCTGCAAAAATACGTGCAATGCAAAGTAAGCTTCTTTCTGGCGATGGCAGCTTGTTGGATCAAACCCGTGAACAGCAGAAACTGCTCGAACAACGACGCCGGCAACTGTCTGAGCAAAAGGTTTACACAGCCATTTCCAGCAGTGGTTCCTTTCTTCATTGGTGTTGCATGAACGAAATGTGTAACTGCTACCCTCTAGAACTAATGTGCTTAGGAACAGAGCCAAACGGTAGAAGATGGTAAATGCACTCCCTCACTATTTGGCTGTGCTGGCTGCTGAACGCATCAGTTGACCACAATCAAGAATGCTTGTAACAGCTGTAACCGCTATCTCGACAGCTCTAAGGGCTGTGCACTGAGAGGGATTAAGCAGTGATGCTTGTCATTCCCTAACTTCTAATACTGTCGTTTACGCTAAGTGGATGTAAAGTTTGTAATGCTCGGGCCCAGAAATATTCTGCATCCAGAGTTTGTTGGAGTCAGACATTATTTGAAGTATATGAATACCATGTCTCTTCTCAGTAACGATTGCGTTTTTCTCAAATTGTCTCCATGTGGTGATATTCCGAGTCTTGCTGCAAGCTATTAGTGTTCTGAGCGACCCATCTTAACATTCATTCTCCATCTCTGCTATTTCACCTAATCCAGCTGTGCATTTGCCAATTAAAGAACGCATTTAAGAAGAAGGAGCGCGAAATTTTACAACAGTTGGAAGCGCAGGAAGATAACACAGCAGAAATCCACGAAACGTTCACCAATCTTAGGCAAGAAGTTGAAATGAAAACAAAGAAGCTGAAAAAATTGTTTGCGAAGTTGCAGCAGGTGCGCCTTTTCCTACAGTAAGAAAGAGTTTTTATCGGTTTTGTGCATTTAATGATTTTCCAAATTTGAGCCTAAAAAGGAAAATGTTCAGGTTCGCGCAGAAATTGGTGATGCTGGAACGAGTCATTCGCAGGAAAGGAGAGACCTGGAAAATTCAGTCACCGAAATTAACAAAGAATTGAAATTGAAGTAAGGGTTGTAATCCACATTCTAACTAATGGTCAGTTCAGTTCACCACTGGAAAAAATCTGTCGATTGCATTTGGCCTAACAACATATGAGAGGTTGAAGCTGCTTTTGGCGGT